AAGTAGATTAATAAAAAATACATAAGTATGTAATTCAAAAGTAGCATAAAAGTTTTCAGCAGAAGCTTGCTGAGACAAAGATAAATTGCATATTTTAATAACTCAAAATAGTTTCCTGGGCAGTACTAAATTTAATTAGGCTATCATTTGTTAAAGATGACCAAAAAATTGGTTAAAGGGGAACCATATTTATCCTAAAGTATAAGGCTATATTCGATGAAAGTATCATACTATTTTAAGTGAGAGCTCTTAGGGGTAATTTAAGGTTATTCTTCAAGCTCTGAACAGACAGAAACAGATCCTAACATGATAAATAGGACCCCCAAAAAAGTACCAGCAGTGCTTAATCATGCAGACAGCAGCAGTGGGTTTCCTTAGACACAAAAATGCACTAACAGATTTACATTGTGTATCAAGCAAGTTTTTCTCCAAAGATACTAGACATTACTTTGTAGTGAATAAAACTATTCAAATAGGGAATGAAAAAAAGAGAACAAGGGAAAAAAAAAAAAAAACCCTCCATGTCTACTTAATCCTTATACTTCAAGGAGCAAGCAGCTCTTCTTCCGCTACTCCTGACAAAATGTTTAGTACATTTTTTAAAATCTTCAGCGAGGAAATTCTGCAAAATCTCCACATATCCCATTCCAGTACTTCACTACTTTTACAAACAGAAATTTAGAGAATTTCTTGAGATTAACATAAACATCTGTTGATTCAGTTTAAGGCTGCTACAACTCATACTGTTCCTAGTAGGAAGGGATGACAACTGATGATGTTCCTCTTTGAGGTATACATATTATGTTGCATTAGAGAACAGTGTGTATTTCCCTTCTGCCTTCTGGCTCCACTGAATAATTTCAATCCTTTTCAGCCTTCCCTTCCGGAATGATTAAAGTCTAGGAAGAATTATTGAAAGGCTTTTTCTTTTTCCTTTTTGAAATGTCAATTTATTCCTCTTCCAGTCCATTCGGTCTAATCCTTTTTTTGAAGAACGTGTGCTCACAGCCAAACAGAGCTCTTCAGCTGGGCTCTCATCAAAGCCAAAGAGAGCAGAAAGATTGCTCCTCATGTTTCCTTGGCCTTACTCCCAGTATGGAGTTCAAGCATCCCTATTTGATGCTTGGATGTTCTTAGACCAGTATAATGTGTTCAGTTTTTGACCATTCGGAGGGCAGCAAGAGCTCCTGCCTAGGGAGGCATTCCCAACTTTTATGCAAGCAGATGATAATTCCTCAGCATTTCATTTATCTCTGTTGAATTACATATAATTTATTTTATATTATTTCTTCAATACAGTAATATTATTTCTAGCCTCATCCTGCAAAATGCCTGTGGTCCTTTGTACTCACAGAAAATTCAGCAGTAATGCTTTATTCATCCTTTAATTTCATTGAAATATTGAAGTAACTCAAGAAAGGAATATATTTAATAATACTAGACAGTTCGACATACTCTGCAAATTTAACACCATGGAATTTGCCCATAAAATATATTTCCCAATCATCAGCTGTGTCATCTTAAAATGACTCTTTGTCGTCTTAAAAAGACTTTAAATGGACCAGCCTAAATTTGCATGTATGTTTCATAAGACATGAAAAATAATTAAAAGTGGTCCAAGACCACTCAGACTCTGAGGCTTGAAACTGGATCCATATTATAATACATCTGGCAACTACTGCTCTATTTCCCTGTCTTGGATATCAAAATTTAAAGCATTACTAAAAGTCTGCGAAAATCAGGACATACCAAACCTTATGTTTATGCCTTATTCCCTGGAGCTATCACAGCAAAAACATTCAAATGGTTTGATATAACATGTTCTTAAATGCATACTCCTTTGCACTTGCAGCTTTATTATTCTATAGCTGCTTAGAAATTGATAGATCGATAATTTGGTCTTTCTCCTGAAACTCAAATTAGATTGACTACTACTGCTACTCTTGGTCGGCCATTTCCCCCCCTTTAAAAAAATACGTTATTTTTTCTGCTGCTGGCAGCTCTGTCTGCAAATTCTCAGACTTAATCACCAACAGTTCTGAGGCTGCTTCAGCAGTTCCAGAGTACCGACAACCCCCAATATTCAAAAAGAAAAATTAAGCTGGGTATAACTTATATATGAGTAAATAGCAGAATTTCAAATACAGCCTTATTCACATCCTTTAAATATCCACAGGATTTTTGTTACTTAGCACTGATGCCTAGGCAATTTTCATGTTTAGTATCTGTCATTTCTAACATCTTTCAACTGATAAAAAACAGTTCACACTGACACATGAACAACATGTAGCAACAAAGAATACCTTGTATTCTTAGTAAATTTAGTATTAACAGGAGATGCCAGATTTATTGCCCCAATAAAAAGCAAAATGAAACCATGCACAAAAAAAAAAAAAGAAAAAAAAATAGGTAAATAAACAAGCAATACTAAATTAAAGTTTCTGAAAATGGCACAACTAATTTGCATGTTAGCTGCCTCAGAGACGAGCTGATGTAAGGATGGAAAATCCATTTTTTCACCACGTATCTATGCAGTCTTCAACATCCCAGCAAAACTTCCCAACTGAAGGTCAAAAGACAACATTAAGAATGTGAATTTTATTCCACAGTTATTTCAATAAGGAACTCTCTTGAGGGCATCAGTTCAGGTCACCAGGTCACAGTTAAAAGTTTAAAAGAAATAGGAAACTGTCAGCACTATTTTTAGCTGTACATTTCTCAATACACTTCCAAAAACACAGCAATTCAGCTCAATATCCAATATTAAGCAAGTTGTCTTTCTAACTGGGCAACATTTACTATCAAGTCTTTGCACCTAATTTTTGTATGTTCTTGACACTCTAGTTACTCTTCTACTACCTTATCTGAAACAAATAATTCCGCGAAAAAATAAAACTGCCTTTTCTTGAGTTTCAAATAGTTATATATACAACTTCATATTGTGAAATTCAGAATTTTTCATGTAAGATGTTAATAAGAAATACTCTACTCCTCAAAAGTCTCAGTTTCGACAAATGAGTACTTTATTTAAATGTGAATTTATCCCCTAAAATTTTGCGAAAGAAAAGTCCTAAGAGGTCAAGCTTTATCTTTTTCCTTCACATTTTCGTTTTTCTATCGCACGTCACAATTCTCCCTTATACTCCACACACACTCCACTATTCTGTCTCCATAGTGTAAATCTAACAGTAAAATCAGTCATTATCTTACTGCTTTTGTTCTTATATTCTTCCTATCACTAGGCTACCTGAATGCCCTCCGCACTTGTAAAATAACCAAAATAATTTGCAAATTAAACCCCAGACTCTAAGCTCTTTTAGAAACCTCTATACAATACAGCATTAACAAAATATGGGGCTGCATTTTGCTTCCTATTTTTCAAGGAATTTTTAGAAATAACCACAGTATAATCAAAAGAAGAAGACACCCCCCAAATTACCCTGCTCTGCCATTGCAGCTGACAGCAGGCTCCAAGGCAATGATCTAGGGTTTTCACGTTTTTCTTAAACAAAAACATATGACTCAATCCCACTCCCACAAGGTATTTCAGCAACAGTCTCCTTGGAATACCCACACCTCCCACTGCTGCCCCCTTCCAGAAAGGAAAAGGACAAAACATTCTGATGTCTCCTGTTTGCTTAACTGACGAACAGTAGCTTGCATGTTCACGGCACCCTCACACGTGACAGCGGAGGCTGCTGGTTTTCCCTCAACTTTCCAGCAGCTCTGGAAGAAGAGATGCAAAAGTCGTTTCAGGCATCCTGAACCGTCTGACCGTCCGATAAGGAAGGTGTAACAAACCTTCCTGGTTACGAATGAAAGACGAAAATTGGATTTTCCCTAGTCAGAATGCCATGCCTACTATAATGAGACCGTATTACAGAAACAGAAATTGATTCGCTGAATTTTTAATAGCTGTTCTCCGATAAAAGACTGGACTAAACATTATAAACAGATGGTATTTTTGCAACGAGCAGTTCTAAGTCACTCTTTTCCCTTTGTTTCGCCCAGCTTACATTACACATGCATGCAATGCTAGTTCCTTGGTTATTTCCTTAATACTCAACATTCACAAAGGAACATGAAAATGCTGACCATGTACAAAAGGAAAATGAAAGTTTTCACATTTCTTCTTACTTGTACTTTGCTAATGCAATCACTGTTAGTTATCTTAAAAGCGGAGTTGATAATTGCAAGAAATGAAGTGTGAAAAGTGATATTACAGTTTCCACGAGTGCGAATCCTCATTTCTTCTTGAGCATATCTAAAAATTTTATCATTCCATTTAAGGATTTAAATTTTTAAGGCATCTGGACTATCTGATTTTAATTCAACAGCTGAATGAAAAAAAAACTGTGTTGCCATCAAAAATCATTATCACATTTCCTCAAGCTATTTTAATAAAAACAAATATTAGCTGCCTTGGCAGGCCAACTGATAGATTGGTGAAATGTAAAATTTTAAATTGATTTTTTTGGATAAATATAGAATTTGAGGACTTTATCAATTATTACTTACTTATCTATTTATTTCTCTTTGCATAAAACTATTGCACACTATTTTTATATCAAACAATAGGCATTTAGGAGCTTCAGGAATTAAATCTTTTTCTGATAATGTACAGCAGTAAATCTTTAAATGCTGTAAAAGAACATTTTCATTCTACATTGCAATTTACTATTCTATTTCCCTTTCACTTCCCCGGTTGCCACACATACATACTTAAAGTATAAAATATTCAGAGGAAATTTCATTTCTTATTCTCTCTCTTACATATATATAAATGATCAGTTGCTTCTTTGAACAAATTTTACACAGAACTATTGTTAAACAAGGTTTTTCTTGAGCATGCAAAACTTCTCCAAGTTTCTGTAAACAAAGCTTTAACAAAATTGTCTTCACACAAAAAAGCAGATACACAAGCTACATTCCACACTAAATTTGTGCACCTTTTTTTTTTTCTTTTTAGATGCGTAATGTTTTAGATATGTGACACTTACAGCTGCCCAGTCACCTTTTCTGCATCGAGAACACAGCCATTCACTATGGATTTCATGGGAAGGAACGCCATAGCAACCTAGAATGAGAGAGCTGGGTTGAGTAATATATTTTGCCTTTCTCTCTGTGGCATTCATTACACTTAAGCTCAGTACGCTTAATTTCCTGTGACCATGGGACCCTTCCCATGTTAAGCTTAATGCTATTCTCCAGTAGTCTACGGAATATATAAATTATGTACTTTACAAACCTCAAAAAAATCAATGTATTTATTATTTCCTTTCATTTCAATAGAAAGCATGCATTTCTCCCCTGCAGTAACAATGAAAAAATCAAATAAGTGCACTGACATTCACTCTGTGCAGTCACATAGTACTTCCACATGGATTTCACACGGACTTCATGAAGTCCTAACATCTGTATAAAATAATACTGAGTAAACTTTGTGCACTTATCAATCACCCCCAAAAGAAAAAAAAAACAGGGGGCATGAAATTACTACGTATCTACGGTAAAGGGCAATATTCATAAGTCCTCAAATATAGTAACATTTAATCCCGACTACTTAGTAAGAATACATTGGCACCACACTGTTGCTAAAATATCAGAAACAAAATAGGAATTTAACAGCTAGGGATTGAAGCTAGGATCAGCAGTTGGCAGTCCATAATTATTGAAAAGTTTACAGAAACATTAATAAGGTCACCCAGGTCATCACAAGGTCACTGTATCTGGAGATTACAAAATCGCCTCAGACTAACCAAGCAACCTTGAGTGCAGCTCACAGTTGGAACTGCAGCTTTTGCTGACTGAGAGAAAGCTCATCTTCCAATGTATGCAATTCCACTTACTGCACGCAAAGATACATGAGATCTTTTGGAACAGTAGCAAAGAAAGGTGAGTATGAATGTAGCTTTTACAAAGGTCAGTTTATTGCCTGCCACATAACAGAATCAATGCTGTGGCTTTAAGAGCTTTTTCTTCTTCTTCTTCTTTTCAATGGTATGGATACTTAATTCTGAAGTTGTAATTCTTTACTGGTTTTGCAACAGCCGTGAACTATTAATGGAATATTTAAAAGAGTTCACAAAAAAATTTAGCCGGAGCTTTAAATAGTACATATAGAAATGTTCCTTGGGTATTTTGACATACCTGATGTCTCATTAATTATTGCTTTATCAGTTAAACAAAATTTGATATGACATTTCTACCAACTGAACAATTAGTTTATTTACTTGCATGAACTCGTACACGACACTTTGCACAGGAAATCAGAAGACTTGTTCCATCTTCTTCGATGAAGGCATTGGATGGATGGTTTTCAGTGTTTTCTTCACTATATATGAAACACATCTCTGGGATAAGTGGTTTTGTCTTTTCATTTTCACCCATAAATGTTTCTTCAGAGTTTGTTTCCCCAAAAGTATAATTGTCATCGTTATGGTTGTCTGGCTGGAAAAAAAATATATATATATATTTAATTAAAAGAAAGGAAAACTTTACTTACTAGTCCTTCTGATAATGGTGAAATAACTTCTCCCCTCATAGTTCTTGCACTAGCTATGTAACAGTTTTATAAGAAAACTGATGCTTCTGGGTTCCTACCTGTAATTCTACAGTTTCTGGACCATTCCAACACTGTGAAATCAAGAAATAGCAGACTAAAAATTCGTGCTACTGCAATGTTGCTCAATGATATTGCATCACTGTTTCCCTAAGAGCTCTTCATCTGAGCCCAGGGCAGCTGAGAGTGAAGCTGCTAGACCTTAAAATCCCAGGAAGAGGACAGGAACTCCTGAGTAATGCTGACATATCTGATATTTTTCTGACAACTGGGAGGAACAATTAAACAAAGCAGCACCTGCCCCTGGCGGCTGATTTAATTGATTGGCAATTTCAACTCAATTATGCCTTCCCTTGTCACAAAAACAAAAACAAAGGGGGAAGCTGGTAGGTCAGCTTTTAACATAAAACATTTCCCCAGCTGGAAACACACAAGCGCTTATTTCCTAGATGGCAGCGTGGGCACAGAAAGCAGCAAGGGGGTTTGGGGGTAAGCAGGAGAGAAATCCATACCAATCCACTTTGCAGCTTGCTTCCCTGTCCTGGAAGGGTCAAGAGAGTCTTTTTCCTAATCCTTGCTCAGAGGGGGTTTCCCTTTTAACAGCCTTTCCGATTTGCAATGAAGAGGGAACAGAAGGCAGCAGTCCATAGCACAGTGTCACTGAACACACTACAGTGGAGTTACCACAGAGTTATCACTTTTCTCCAAAAGGAATTTTGTAGTTTCCACCAGTTTAGGATTTCTGAGCTTTGATAGTTTAGGATTCCTAAATTCTAAACTTACTATTTTCCTGCCCAAATATTTTTCACTTTTCCATCACAGGCCACTCTGCTTTGCAGGTCTGTGGAGTGCATGAGACACAGCAGGTGACTATTTTCTGACATCCTGAAGTTCTTCAGAACCAAAAATTGATTCATAAAAATGTTCAGAATAGTCTTAGTTTTAAGGGTTTTTATATCTACTACCATATGCACTTAAAATATTATGCAGTTTTGCCTGCAACTCTCCTGGAGGTGAAAATGCTGTAGCAGTAAGTACTTTTCTATACATGTACTAGTGTTAACTGGTAAAAACACCATAGGTTACAAAAAGATTCGGATGAAAGGTTTGCTTGTTCCTTACAGTTCAGTGTATTTCTTTCACAATACAGTGATGATGACATTGTGTTTAGTGTGTTTGTGTGAAAAAAATTACTACACTGGTGTGTAAGAGCCCTTGAATGTTATTTTAAAGTAACTCGAAGGTCATTTTTTTTCAGGTTAAATATTTTATTAAGCAGAAAGCACTGAGTTTTACAAAAGAAACAACACTTTCTCAGCATTTTTAACTGATGCTTGATATCAGGTTGATATTCTCAACTTAATGTCAAAAAGCACTGTGGGTTAGATTGTTTCTGGGAGAATATTATTCTTAAGAAGGCCAAAATACTGTGAAAATAGTTATTTCTTCAACATTGCTGGAAGGAGGAGTGGTAGCAGCTCAAAGAAAAAGCATTCAAAGAAGGACCTCTAGGGAAGTATCTAGAAACATGAATCTACATGGATTCACCACCTTCAGAACTGTCTATGATCTGTAATGCTACACATACATGTTCTAATACAAATCCTACATGGACCCTAGAAAGCAAATAACACTGGCAGTTAATGCTAAATGCAACTGAATGGAGTGTAAGTTCTAATTTCAGTCATATTGGGTTTATTTACTCTTCATATAAATCAAACACATAAGTTTCTCTGATTTCTCATTTACTATTTTACTGGGAATTAAGTGGCTGGGCAGCTATTTCACATGTTGCTGAAAAATGAAACTGTAAGGATCTCCCTTACCTTGTAGTATGGCATGAGCAGCGTGCAGATAGCACAGTGCGGTTCCTTTTTGGCACAGGCTGCATTATATTCCTTTTCAGCCTTGAAATTAGGTGCTCTCTTCTGCCAAAGGTATATAAGAGGCCTGGCCCACGTCTCTGTCTCCTGTACTTCCTCTTCAATTAAGGTAGTCTCAGGCAGTTCTTAAATAAAACAAATAATTGGTTACAATGACAAACAATACTGATGCTGTCATGAGCACTGACGATGAATTCCAAACACTGCTAAAAGAAATCTATGTGTAAATACTACTGGAGAATTAGGCATTAGGACAAACAAGCACAAAGCAAAGAGATTTGACATCTATACCACACATTGACTATTTCGCATACACTAATGTATTTCAGTAGTTCTATGACATAGAATTTGAGTTCCTATACTCATCAAAATTAATACATTTGTCCATTCCTCACTTCCTCCAGCCTCTATACTCCATCATGTCACAGCCTCTGCTTTAAATTCCTCATTGATGAAATATGCTACATTTTGTCCAAGAGCTGCATGAACGGCACCTTTCAACTTTTTGTGTAACCTCTGACAAGAAAAACAGACAAATGTTACAGACACTGAACAACGGGGAACAATCTGACCTAGGGCACAGCAGAACTTTCAGGAACGGTAAAGCCAGTTTCCATTACAGGATAGATGATTTATGGTCAGTTACAGCATTTCACTTATTACCAGTGTTTCTGTGCAGTACTTCTTCATAAAAATGATATTATGAAATAGAAAGTATCTAGAATGCCTAGAGGATAAAGCAGGAGGGCAGGTCAAAGAGAACAAACTTTCTCAATGCAAGAATTTTAAAAAGAAGCCATTTTCTCTTGAGAAAAAGATGTGAAAAAAATGAGAACCCTGGAAAAAGAGGAGTGGGAACAAAACCCTGCCCACGTGAAGTCAGCTTCTTAACTACTAATGACTCAAGTCAGCAGAAAAATTTTAGCCTAATCCAGCCTTGGCTGGGAACCTCAAGGTAGCTTGAAGGGCAGTTTAACTGCTTTAGCATCTGCAAACTACACCAACTTTGAGGAAGGAAATGTCTTTTCATTCTGGAAACCTGAGAATAAATTGTTAAGTCTTTTTTCCTGAATTGCATTCTTATACCCTTGTTCTGACCAGTGACAAGGGCTGTGGTTTTGTTCATTTAAATGGACTGTGCCTAATAAATATTTTGTGATCAATGAGAAGGTATGTAGGTGTCAATCAAGCCTAGAGAAAATGATGAGAATATGGAAAGGAAACCTATTGGTGTATTGAACAGAACCTGGAATAGAACTTTAAAAAAGTGGCAGGTGGTCTGTTTCTAATGACGTACTTAGAAAAAAATTAAAAAGTTTATTTCAGAAGAGAATTTCAACCACAGAGAAATGTTTAATGAAGTACAAAACACTGAATCATCACATTTCTTCAGCTTATGACTGCCTACAACCACATTACAGAAACAGAAAGGCTTTATGGATCTTCTCCCTATGATAAACTAGCATCCATTGCCACAAAAACATTATAAATTTGATAAATGACAAATAAAATATAAATTATATAAGAAAGCCAAATGTTGCATAAAGAAATTAATTATTATACCCTGCATGTAAGTTTTCTTCCATTTTTATACAGAATTTCTCAAGAGAACTGGTATCACTTCAATAAACATTTGCTCATAATCCAGGTAAAAGAAAAAAACCAAACCTGTGTGCAGAAAAGCCTGTCACCAAATCCATATTCAGCAACAGATCTTTTCTGTTGATTATGTAGATACAAATGTCAAGCAATTAAGAAACAGTTGACACAAGGATGAGATGAAGTATAAAATGTGGACCTCAGTTTTAAAGTTGTCTGACTATTTTCCTTTTAGTTAAATACCTCTGTCAAGAAGCAACACTTTTTTATTATTTATAACTTTTCCTAAATTGGAAAAAACAAATAGCTCTCAAATCTCTGCCTTTAATTCTAATCTGTATTTTTTAACTTTCCTTACAGAATGATCTCACAAGTTTATAATATGAATGATCTCTTCTAGGAGCACCATTATTTAAAAAAATTTAGTTTTGGGTGTACGCTCAGAGAGAATTCTGGGACTGATACTCCTTAGTCAGATTCTGAAATTCAGATCTTAACCTCAATTTTTATTCTCTACTTCTATCACACAGTTTTCTGGTTTCCCACTGCTCCTGCACATTGCTAAATTCATGGGTATATTTGCTCTGCTTTTAATGAGACTAATATTTATGTCTTAATTACACATAAGGTCCACTATTTCAGTCCCCACTTTGGCCATTTTCACCATCCTTTGCAGGCGGAGGGACAAAAGAATGTAAATGCCAGGAAGAAACCTAGGAACACTCTTACATGACTTTATTGCTTTCAAGAGCTCTTCATTTACTTTCAAATCAGAATATCAAATGAAGCCAAGGACAAAATCCTGTATGCAGGACATACAGGACTGCACTAAAACAACTGAGGAAAAAAAAATCACTTTCAAACTACTTTAATAAGTTTATTTTCCCCTTTATGTTATGTATAGAGCAATCACCTCGAGTTCACCGGCTTTTTGACTGGAATCAAACCATCCCCAGTTGCCTCTGTCTCCAGAAAATCATTCCTTCTCCTTGGAGGCATCACTCCCTCTCAGTGCAGTGCACTCCTTCCTGCAGCCCTTTCCTTTCCCCCCTTGCATGAGCTATGGGACCCTCTGCTGTGACCACACTGCACCCTTCAGCCTCACTGTTCTCTCCTGGAATAGGCTCAGGAACCCACTCGGGAAGCAGCGACATCCAGCTGCTAATCCAGCACTTTGCAAAGGACCGCGACACAAGCCAAGAGCACGCGAAACCCAAGCTGGCAAATACCCGTAAGTTTCATCTGATCTCTTCTATCCTCTCTGCACAGATTTTGATTTTCAGTGGTATTTAAGAATTTCCAAGGCAATCTAAGGCCTAATTTTTCATGGTTTTCAGAAACACTGTTTCATCTGCTTTCAGTCAGCATCTTCCCACTGCATACTCAAATCCTCAAATATCAACAGAAATTGATATTAAAAGATGAAAGCTACAGAATGCCTGACTCCCATTACAGAATATGGCAATAATGTAGCCTTTGATAATTTTCTCCAGGTGAAAAATACAATCTGTTATGTATTTTGCCTTAATTGGTCTGCCTTGTTCTGTTTTGCTTTACTTCAAATGTCCACCAACACTATTTACAGGAAAAATGTGCAAGTCAGCTTCTCAGCTGTTGCAGGTAAAGCAGGCTTCCTAGTTTCCACCAAACCAGATAAATTACCTAAGAAGTGGTTACCCAAAGCAGTTATGCAAGAAAATAAAAAGCAAAGCTCAAAATTACGTTTTTATTTTTATCAAGTTACCATAGTTGATGCACTGTCTTCAGTGGCTCCTTTCAACATTTATTGCATAGCTGAAGGGCCTTCATTTATTTGGCCTAGCATAAAATTAATTTGATTTACATTGGTATGTATGGGTTCAGAATAGGCATTCATATGCCACTTCCAAGTTCAGAATTTTTGGTTAGAGCAAAGAGACACTCTGCACCTCCTCATGTTCCTGAGAAAAGTTATAAAAGGCACAAAGCAACTGCAAACTGCAGCTTCCATCCACTCCAAATTCACTTTAACTGACAACTCCACAAGTCAGGATAAAGAAAAACTCCTGGCATCCATGTTGACCAAAAAAAATCAGAAGTTCAGCTGTCATAAGCAAACAGCCTTTCCTCAGTGAAGGGTCCTCACGACTAGCAAAAATCGTGGTGAAAGTATCAGCTCCTGCAGTGGAAGACGCTTGGACTTTCCCTCCCAAAACAGACGTCTGCTTTCTGAGTCCAGTGTGCATCATTTCATGAGGCACCATGAACATGACGTTCCCCTAATAATCTTACATATTTTCACTTTTCTGAAAGAGAATTAGAAAAATTTAAAAATTCACAAAAATTAAAAATACATTATTCATCTTGTCTTTATTAATTTCTGAAATTTTTTGGCAAAGAAATGTCAAATAAATTTGCCCATAACACAATATACACGTGTAAGTGGCAATAAGAAAATACAGGCAGTGCATCTGCTAGACATGACAAGGAAACTCAGCGAACATTTGCAGCCCTCTTAACAGAACTTTTTGAAAATTTCCGTAATTATACACATAAGGTACATATACTTATGACAAATACTCAAAGAGTCACCTTTAAAGTTTACATTTAACCTACACTCGTTATTCAATCTCCATTGGAATCACAGTATTCCAATAAAAAAAAATCCATAATAACAAATATTGTATCAAAAACTGAGGCCATCACTTCAGATTTAAAAAAAAAAAAAGGTCTTTAGCAAAACACCTTTTCACACAACACTATCTTTAAGTATAAATATGATGGTTAACCCGAAATACAACTTTTACTTCAGGAATTTTAAAATTACTTTAAAAAATTAATTCAAAAATTAAAGCTGTTTAAGACTTCAATGGAACTACAATTATCTGATTCTCTTTCTTATAATCAAGCCTCTTCTTTCTCAAGACTGTCTCAGGAGAACTTCTGTATATTAGCCATTATACTTAGAGGAAGATAAAATATAAAGATGTATGTTCTTATGTAGAAACGTTGTGTAGACAGCACCTCAAAAAAGTTGTAGCTAAGAAAGACCAATCACAGGAAAAATAAAAACAAAAACAACAACAACAAAAAGTTTTATAACGTAGCATCTTTGTTTAAGCATGCATTGAAGTACACTGTAATTTCAAACCAGCCATTAACTTCACAGTTATAAATCAGCTTCACGTAACCCTTGTGTGACAAGTAGTATGGATCTCATAAAATCAGTTTCAAGATTTCCATGAGAAGCGAAAAAAACGTTATCTTTAAATAACTTAAATTTAACATGAATCTCAAGATGAGCAAATATTTTGTAGGAACAAACAAAGAAATCTTGGGCATCCTGTAATGTGAAAGAAAAAAGTCAGCAAGCAGAGATTCAGCTGTATCAAGAAACACTGGCAGACTCTTTAAGGTATTCCAAATGAAGGCACATTTTTAATATAAATCAGAGTACTGTCCCTCCAATTTACACATTAATGTTATGCACAACAAGAAAACAGAACTGAGTGATACAGTACCCACACCTAAAATTCTGTCCACAACTGTAAAGACAACCTGAGCTCTGTCGAAGTGTTTGGCAGTACAAATTAAAGCAGGCAGAAATTTCATGCCTCAGATAAGTTTTCCAAGTTGGAATACACATTTAAATAAGCTAGAAGACCCCTTACTGAATACACTTTGTTAACATTCTTTATTCGGATTCAAATACCTTATGAAAAGATAACAATACTTCTTAAATTAATACATCACTACTTTTTTTTGTTATGCTTTGATAATAATAATTATGTATTACGCTTTTGCAGCATCAAAATAACACTCTCAGTCATAACAGCCTTCCAAGGACAGCTTAACGTGTGAGGTTGTAAAGATGCAAAAACTATTTAAAATATTTACATGAATAATGTCTTGTAATTTCTATTTTTCTGGCTGATATTGCATTGCATATTTGTAGAGAATCTTAAAATGCATCAGTGTCTGCCGCCCAAAATGTATTAATGACTTAAGTTATGTCTTTTTTAATGGCATTCTCACTGTCGTGCCCTAACCTGAGATCTTAAGTCTAATGCTTTTTTGTAATATTATACCAGATACAGATGATAACAACATTAGGCATTTGTTTCCTGCAGGTATAGAATATGGAATCTTTGTTTCCAAATCAAGATGCAGGAGCCTTTGACAGGTTAATTAACAACTTCACATATATGAAAAAAAATGTTAAAATTTACTGTATGATACAATAACTCAGTCTTAATGATAATGATACTAAAGGACGGTTATCAATGTCAAACTCTATCCTATTTGGTGACATAACCTTTATACCTGAAAATAATATTTATTCATTTATTTCTAATTAATTTCAATATTACTATTTAGGATAGACCAGTTCTGACTTACAAAATTATTTATGCAAAATTGTCTAGCCAAAAAGAAAATTATGTCTTGGAATGTGTTCTGGTTCAAAGGGAACTCTTTCTGAAACAGAGTACATCATAGAATCAGTTACTGTGCTGCTTTCCAACTGGGTTAAGTGAATAATGCTTGAATTAAATAAATGCTTTGTTTTCACAAACGTTATTGGCTTAATAGTTTGTGATAAACTTGTTTCAACACTCCATGCCATTGCTTTGAACAATTTTTGCTTACTAAGTTAAACTGAGAATCTCAGAAGGAAAAACATTTGGGACATTTGCAGAATGGGCTATTGCCAGTATTTGCTGATCTAACCCAGCAGATGTGAAAAGCCATAGATGCTAATACAGTATAATTTTATTTTGCCAATCTCAACAATGATTTTGCTGCTTGAGGTTATGTTCCACTGATGCTTCCTGGCTTTGTATAGCAGCATTCTCTGCTATGAAGAGCATAGCAGCATCTGTTATTTTTCAGGTAGTTGAGCATAATCCCAGCCCTGGGAGGCATTATATATAGTTTCAAATGTCCTGGAGGAAATAATAATAGGAAAAAAAAAAGTTGGGGGGGGAGGATAGGGAAGTCAGTCAGGAGAAAAGACTTGTAACTCTGAAACTTCACTGTTCCTAAAGTATATCTACAAACTTAATTTCTGAAATTGTGCTTCCCTTTTCTGGTCATGAAAGTCATAGTTTTCAGAGCAAAAGATTAAAATGTGAACTTTTAATTTCTTTTAACAGTACTGCACTGCATGTACATATTTGGTTAAAGAGCCTGGTTGCTGAGCTATTAATTAAGTCTTCAGTTTGCATAAAAGATGTATATAAAGACAGACATACAGGATCAAAGCCCTGGAGTGTAAGCCTAAGAACTCCTGGAATAAATTTGGGTTAGCTCACAAGAGAAACTAATGGGCTTTTTTATTTTAAAAAGTATAATATTTTTAAAGTGGAGTGCACCATTATTAGCAGACCTCAAAATGCTTTGAAAGGTCAGAAAAATTAAGAGTCTTAAAAAATTTGTAAAAAGAGGAATTTACAGAATTGAAAGATAAAAAGATTAATTTAGACATTAGGATACTCTGACTTTGCTTGCACATACTTTTAGATCCCAATAATTCAATTTATGTTTGCACCGTATTTGAACTGAATTTTGCAACTGCTACAATCTGCTAAATATAATTTCTACATGTATGGTGATTTTAATTGCACTGCTGCACCATTGTGCTAAATCAAAATCCCATGCAATATCAACAAACTTCAAACAGGTCAATTTTGCATTATGCACTAAAACCTCCATATGTTTAAAGGAATCTGGTAAAGGGTACTGAACACTGACATTAATTGGTATAGCTGTCAGGATATTCTTGAGGGTGAGGGCTGATCATTACAGTAGCAATGATTACTTTGGCAAGGACATGATTCTCAATTTGGTACCACTGGGATTAAAAACGTAATAGAGAAGAACCATATTGTGATCAAGAACAAGTCGTGATAAGACTGGCTGTATATGGGACCACTACTGGAAAAAACCTCACCAAAAATATGAAAAGGAGGGTTGGAAAAATCTAGCTGGGATTTTTTATGAATAGAAAAAGAACACACTGA